ATATTTACATCAAATACTTGGCAAGATTCTGAACATCTGAGGGGCCCTGACCGTTTTCCTATATTTTTCCAACACTTTGTAAAGTCAGGAGCTGCACCAGATGATTATGTTCCATGGGAAGGTCTATAAAATACACAATTTACCAAAGCCATAACAGTGTGCTGGTGTAGGGCACCAGCATCACTGAAAGTTCTGTGGTGGCTCTCTTCTATAACCCAGGGCTGACAATAGGAGAGGCTCTTACTTACTACCAAGCTCAGTGATAGCAGTGGGGATGATGGAACGGACTTCCCAGTAAAGGACAGCTGGTAGCACTTAACTATCAAACTCCAAGTGGATGCAATTATCTTAATAAGTAGCAGGGTCTGAGAAGCAGCCAAGAGGCCTGCCTTACACAGATGGAGGTAGTTAATCAAAAAGACTGTCACTAGGGGCAAAATAGATGGAAATCCAACAAGGGTATTCTGTTTAGCTTGAAGCATCATAAGAAATCAAGGATGGATGATTAGGCAACCAACAGCAAATGCCCCAGTTAAAAGTCACAATCCAGTACCAAGTTGCTGGACTTAAGGGGGTTTCCAGACTCAGAACACACAGACTGAAGAGGAGGTTAAGTTTCCAGGAGGAGGGAAATTGCAATACGGTAGAAAATGCATTCAGTAACAATTTTCCCACTCCTTTCCCCAAAATCATTTACTTCGGTAACTTAGAGTGAACCACCATCCTGGTTTGCCCAGAACTGATGAGCTTCTTGGAATGTGGAACTTTTGTTTTAAAATTAGGAAAGTACTGAGCAAACAGATGAGTTGGTATCTCTAGTCCTGTGAAATGGGAAAGGGGGAATAGCCAATTATTTTGAGGGCTGTTGGACACATTCTGAATTGACAGTCATACCCAGAGACTTGAAGCTTCATTATGGCCCCTCCGACTAGGGGAACATGGAGACTAGGTAACAAGTGGAGTCCTGAGAAACATCTGGCTTATTATGGGCTCATTGTTTCTTCAGATCTGTTAGGCGGTTATTTCCCCATTCCCTACAAGTATAATTGAGAATAACATACTAAATAATTGGTAGACTCCAGCCTGTGGGATAAGGGTAGTCATACCAGGGAGGGGGTAAGTGGAAGCCTCTAAAACTGCTCCCCAAACACAGTCAAATTAATAGATCAAAAACGGTACATCCCTAGAGGGTTGGTGGAAATTAGTGCCACCCTTAAGAATCTAGAGAATGCAGGGGTGTCGGTATTGTGCTAATCTCAGACCGTTTCTTCTTCCTCACAAATAAGATGACCTTTATTCTTAGAAATTAGACCCTTTATGAAATTCATTTTGTTTAATAAAAAAATCAAAAAACTGTTTAACTTCTCTTTGAGTCACCTAATTCACATCTGGGCAAAGCTTGTTTATGTAGTCTTAAGGAATTGCTACTGTAATAATTTCTACTCTTCTTTTATAGTCACTGGTATTTTGTATATAGTATATTACTACAATAATAAAACTAATATAATAATTGCAGAATGATCATTAACAAGTTTGACCAGAATAAGAATATGTCCACATTATATCTTTCTTTAAAAAGTGAATTTTACAACATTGTTTTTCTTTACTAGCATCCAAATTTCTTATTCTTTTAGAGCTCTTTCATATGTTTTGTTTTTTAAAGCATTATTGTCCTTTTTTAAAGGATTTTTTTAAAAAGGAGAGTGCAATAATTTAGAACACA